TGAAAATGGGTCTCTCAATAGAGGAAAGAGCAACTTCCGTGAACTATCAACCCCAACACGATTTCATGGTTGTCCTCTATCGTTGTTATTGTTGTTGTTGTTGTTGTTGTTGTTGTTGTTGTTATTGTTATCGTTCTTGTTATTGCTTTACCGTTGTTATTATTATTATTGTTATTGTTGTTGTTGACGTTGTTGTTGTTGTTTTCGTTGTTACTGTTGATTGTGGCCAGTTCGGTTAACTCCGTTGTTTCTATCCCATTCAATGTTCGACACTCTCGAGTTACTAGTGTCGTTGTCCAATCGGACGGGACTCCATACCAGGAGTTTCGTCAAGTTCGACGAACGACACAGGAAAGGCCTTATTCGCTCTGTACACGAAGTACAGGGGTTATCAACTTCTATCATCAAAACGTTGAAATTCACTTTACATTCGATTAATCAATTCTATTTGAGATTATCTCTTTTCTTTTTCTATTTTTTCTTTTTTTTCTTTTTCTTCTTCTTCTTCAAAAACAAAACAAAATAATATTAAATTGTTAAATCTTAAATAAAAGTTATATCGCGAATTTTAATCTCTTATCAAAAAAGAAAAAAAATAAAATGAAAGAAATTACGATACTTTACGATAAATTCAATTTTTATCGAATGATTTTTTCTAATGCAATAGTATATATACTATTTGTTTAATATATTTGTTTAATATATTATATATAATATTTTTTAAATATTTGTTTAATATATTATATATAATATTTTTTTTAATATTTGTTTAATATATTTGTTTAATATAATACATATAATATTTTTTTAAATATTTGTTTAACATATTTGTTTAATATTAGATTGGAAATTATGAAACGGGCGTTTTTGTTTAGTTTTTCATTTACATTCAACGCCCGTTTCATAGTTTCCAACCTAATATATAAAAATATATATATATATATATATATATATATATATATATGAGCCGTTTATTTTGAAAGTGGCCTAACTCCATTTGTCAATTTTTTCCGTTTGCTATAATTACATGTATAATTTTATCTTATTTATCAGTAAAGCATTTCAGGTTACTTATATTCCGAGCAAATACGATATAATTCTTGGCACATAAGTTTTCAGAGTTAGTTCAATAATTTAATCGTTTATTTTGAAAGTGGCCTAACTCCATTTATACTTAAATCAATGAATGAAAATGAAAATTTTAAAGTCCTGAATTTATTACCAACGTCGGGGTAGATCAAGAAAGTTCAAAAATATTGTATTGACACCATATGTATAAAAATATCAGACAAATTACAACAGCAAAATTCAAGGACATAATTGACCTATTACGATATATACAACCGGAACATCATAATTTTTTCAAATCCCTTTCACACACACAAAATCTATATTAGTAGTAAATTGTTTTGTAATAAATTTATGTTTGTAATTTTGTACGTTATGTAGTTAAAAAATGTTTTGAATCGCATAAATTATGTTTTCGAAGTGTTTTAAAGATATGTAAAATAAATTGAGTATTGTTTTTTTTTTTCACTTTGAAGCATTTTAAATTATGTTGAATGGACTTGGACACCTTCAAATTTTATAATGAATCTGATTGTTAATTTTGAAATTGGCCTAACTTCATTCTTGATAAGAAAACGCATATTATTCAGTTAATAATTGCCATTATTTTAATAGGAACTATAAATTTAACACCCTTAGATACACTTAAGTAGTATGACTCATTAGTATCCTATACGTATATTTTTAAATTCATTAAAACGCAAACCCTTAAATATCGCGATTTGAAGATAAATGGAGTTAGGCCACTTTCAAAATAAACGGCTCATATAATATATTAAATAAATATTGATATTAAATTCGTCGAACGTCCATATCGTTCTATTTAAGAAAAATTGAAACACTATCGATGACCTTGATATAATACATATAATAGATTATCGAATATCCCTTTAATAATTTTTGTTCTTTTCTATTTTTCTTTTTCTTTTCTTTTTTTCTCTTTGAAATATAAATATCATTCGATATCAATCTTAACTATGATAATAAACAAAATTTTCAACGAAACGATTTAATCGATTATTTTCGACTAGTCCGTACTAAACTGAGCATCGTTGAAAGGTCAATGCACGTAGACGTTTGTACGTCGGGTCATATATACACCTTTGGTTAATACGAAATGTTGACCAAAATCTATCGTCCGTTTGCATTGTTCTGTTTTTGTTGACCGATCCTTTGTTAGAATGTTCGTCAAACAGTTGTTGACACTACGAGTATATTACGAGCTGATAGATAACCCCTGTGGATTAACTTCTCATTGATCATATTCAAGGATCTAATTTAGTTGTCTTATATTGTCCAAACAATAATACACGAAATTTAAAATATATTATTCGATATATATGTGTGTGTGTGTGTGTACATGTATTTGTGTTCATTTTTATAAAAAATATTACAACTTTCGATGTTATTTTGATCTTGAATATTTTTGTATTTATGTATAAGTCTTTTCTATATTTATTTAAACTTTATCTTATAAATAAATTTTTATTCATATTAAATTAATAATATTAAATTATTATAATATTATATATTATTATTATTATAATATTATTATAATAATGTTATTATTTTATTTTATTTTATTTTGTTATACTTGTATATATATATATATATATATATATATATATATATACATATGTACAAAAAAAGATAAAATATATAGAAGTGCAGATTCTTTAAAAAAAAAATTAATTCGTCCTTTTCGAGGATAATTAATTTTGAACCCACCCCATAGAGAAACAGACGTCGTCAAAAAAAAAAAAATTGATATGCAGTATATTACGAGCTGATAGATAAGCCCTGTGGATTAACTTCTCGTTTATCATATTCAAGGATCTAATTTAGTTGTCTTATATTGTCCAAATAATAATATATGAAATTTAAAATATATTATTTGATATGTGTATGTACATGTATTTGTGTTCATTTTTATAAAAAATATTAAAACTTTCGACGTTATTTTGATCTTGAATATTTTTGAATTTATGCATAAGTCTTTTGTGTATTTATCTAAATTTTATCTTATAAATAAATTTTGATTTATATTATTGTAATAATATTAAATTATTATAATTGATTTTACTATATATAATATAATATAATAATTATATTATTATATTATAAATTATTATATTATATTCTTATATATATATTTTTTTTATTTTATTTTGTTATACTTGTGTATATATATATACATATGTACAAAAAAAATAAAATATATAGTATGTATTTGTGTTCATTTTTATAAAAAATATTAAAACTTTCAACATTATTTTGATCAACTTGAATATTTTTGAATTTATATATAAATCTTTTGTATATTTATATAAATTTTATCTTATAAATAAATTTTGATTTATATTATTGTAATAATATTAAATTATTATAATTGATTTTACTATATATAATATAATATAATAATTATATTATTATATTATAAATTATTATATTATATTCTTATATATATATTTTTTTTATTTTATTTTGTTATACTTGTATATATATATATATATATATATATATATATATATATATATATATATGTATATATATATATATATATATATATGTATATATATATATATACATATGTACAAAAAAAATAAAATATATAGTATGTATTTGTGTTCATTTTTATAAAAAATATTAAAACTTTCAACATTATTTTGATCAACTTGAATATTTTTGAATTTATATATAAATCTTTTGTATATTTATATAAATTTTATCTTATAAATAAATTTTGATTTATATTATTGTAATAATATTAAATTATTATAATTGATTTTACTATATATAATATAATATAATAATTATATTATTATATTATAAATTATTATATTATATTCTTATATATATATTTTTTTTATTTTATTTTGTTATACTTGTATATATATATATATATATATATATATATATATATATGTATATATATATATATATATATACATATGTACAAAAAAAATAAAATATATAGTATGTATTTGTGTTCATTTTTATAAAAAATATTAAAACTTTCAACATTATTTTGATCAACTTGAATATTTTTGAATTTATATATAAATCTTTTGTATATTTATATAAACTTTATCTTATAAAAAAATTTTTATTCATATCACTGTAATAATATTAAATTATTATAATTGATTATACTATATATAATATAATATAATAATTAGATAATATAATGATTATATTATTATATTATTAATTATTATATTATATTCTTATATATATATTTTTTATTTTATTTTGTTATACTTGTATATATATATATATATATATATATATATATATATATATATGTATATATATATATATATATATGTATATATATATATACATATGTACAAAAAAATAAAATATGTAAAAGTGCAGATCCTTTGAAAAGAAATTAATTCGTCCTTTTCAAGGATAATTAATTTTAAACCCACCCGCATATAGAGAAATAGACGTCGTAAAAAAAAAAAAAAAACAGGAAGGAAAAAAAATTTATATACAATCACTTTCTAATAATATTAAATTTATACTTTTTTCAAACGTCACTACTGAAATAAATTTTCTATAGAATATAATCGCATTAAAAAGCGATCGACCAGAATCGATTTTAATTTTTAAGAGACAAAGCGTATTCGTTTCCGTGAAAATGAAAAAATGACAAAAGAAAAAAAAAAAAAAAAAAAAAGAAAAAATAAAATTAGAAAATTGAGATAGAAGACAATTTGAACATTGTTAAATTTTCATTTAAAGAAAAAAAAAAAAAAAAAAGAAACAAAAAACGTAAAACACTCTTTTTTTTTTAACGAATCAATCGTTACCGACTTCGTTATATAATCCTAATTGAATTATCCTAATTAAAAAATCGAAATCGATCGATATAATTATACAAAAAAAAAAAAAAGAAAAAAAAAACGAACAAATAGTATAAAAAT